CCCCTGGACTTTCTAAGACAACAATGGACTAGATGTGGTGCATAGGTTCCCAAAGTGGGCACTACTGCCTCCTGGGGGGCACTGGAATGGTTCAGGGGGTGATGCAATTAGGGGGCATTGAATAAAAATAAGGAGGGGGTGGTGAAAGCATAAGGAAAGAAGGGAAGATAAGAAAATTTTGAAAAACCATTTGTACATGTCTCATTTGTTGTGTAACAGAGTTAAAGTCATAGTGATGACATTTTCCAAATAAACACACAAAATGCAAATTATAACTGATCAATGGTCAAGTCCTCCAACAGGTCTTAACAAGCAAGTGTTGGTAGGTGAGCGTGTTGCACATTGTTGGGAAGTCCAGCATGCATCGGCAAGAATATGTGTACATAATGACGATATGCAATACGATATGCAATATAGCATCATCAAAACTTCAATGCTGGAAAAAAACCCATAAATTTATAATGAATTATTAAATTTAAGATGCATCATTTTAAAAATATATATTTTTGAAATGATGCAAACTTTAAAAAAAAATAAAGGGCTAAAGAAAGTAAATTTCCAAGGGGGCACTAAGTAATTTTTTTTAAAGGGGGAGATAAGCCAAATAAGTTTGAGAACTTCTATGGATGGAAGATCTGAGTTCAAATTCTGACATGTCCATAGGACTGCATTTTTCAAAAGTTATACAGGTTCCCAAAGGGCTATGCACCTATAGAGTACCATGTAGGTTGATCTTACCAAGCTTGGAAGAGTATAGGTCGGGAAACAAATTGGATATATGTTGTCTGATAAGCAGCTTAGATCAGTTTCAAGAGGCTCATCACCAGAAGATTGGTCACTATGTGATGTATTTGGGGAGATCCACCAGCTTATGACAATGGTCTACGAAACCACAGAGGGTTTGTGATCCGTGTTATTTGAATAAACAGCAACATGATGCCTAGAGATTTCAGGTTTCTATAGAAGTAGATCCCTAAAGGACCTCAGAGGCTATTTAGTCTAATGATCTCACTTTACAGATGAGGAAACTGAGACCAGAGAGAATGTAACTTGCCTAAGTTCATATGGGCAGTTAACGAACTACTCAATTCTAAAATTAGGATCCTTGGTTTTGATCCAGGATGAAAATTGTTGATTCCTGTTGATGACAGGAATATCCACATGGATAAAACTCCAGATGCCTAAAGAACTTCATAGTTTAGATACTGAAGGGACCTTAGAAGTCCTCTGTGCTAATCCCTTCCTTTTACAAATAAGGAAAGCCAGAATAGGTTACATGACTTGTCAAAGGTCACACAGGTAGTAAATGGCAGTGTAAATTTGAAGCCATGTCCGTTTTCCAACCTCTCTAGCCACTGCACTGACAGAGAAGAGGCACTAGGAAGCTACTCCATTGTGTAAAGGTTGTTTTGAGCAGGGAAGTGGGATGATCAGACAGCTGTATGTAGGATGGATTGGAGATGGGAAAGGCTGGAGGGGAGGGACTACCTTACATGCTTGTATTTGGATTCTTAATACTTAGCACAGTACCTGGCGTGTGATAATTGCTTAATAAATATTCCAGTTGTCTGTCCGGCCATCTATTCATCTATCCATCAATGATATTGTCCCCTTTTATTGAAGCAACTAATACCCATGATCCCAGTGTCACCTTTACCTCTACCTCTCTCCTTTCTATCTCTTTCTCTCTCTCTCCTCTCCCTCTCCCTCTCTCTCTTTCTCTCTCCCTCTCTTTTTCTCTCACCCCCATCTCTGCCTCTCTTTTTTGTTTTTTTTTGTTTCAGTTCTCAGATGAGATCTTGCTTTTTTGTTTACAAGAAAAAATTATAACTGACACTATTCATTATGCTAATGAACTCATTTCATAGTGTGGACACATTGTGGACTGTAATTAAAATGCTGAGGCTCTTGGAATAAGGTAAAAAAAAAACAACCCAACACTTTCTGAGAAGGTAGGCTCATAGAAAATACAAACAGGAATAGGCAGAAGCAAATTAGGCTGGAGCCAAGAATATGCCTGTTGGAATGCAAAATTGACTGTAAGCCAGGGACATTTACAGCATCCATAACAGTGATGCGGACTCAGAGCTTTGAAGGGCATAGCAGTTTGTTAAGAATATCATGTCACCATGAAACACTTGCATCTGAATGAATGGCCTGGGGATTGTCTGGTGAGACCTTTATCATGTGGGTGCCTGGTAGAAATAATAATGCCAAAGAAATTTGCTTGTTTTATCCTTCACTTTTTGTAACCCCAATTTTCATTGTGGTGTTTCTTGCTTTGTGGAATATGATATAAATTAACATAGACCAAGGGAGCTTGTACCAAATGGTGACTCTGTTCCATTCACCAACTGGGGATATCTCCTAGACAGTAACTTGGAAGCTTACTTGTCAGCATTTGTGTGTGTGTGTGTGTGTGTGTGTGTGTGTGTGTGACTACATTTAACTTCAATGTATCTGTAATCTCATCATTGTGAGCACTCTCTCTATCCAATTACATATCAATGTCTACACAATAGCTATTCTTCATCCAATTGGTTTTTCCCAGATGGATAGTTAGACCAAACTCATTTGAATGGTTATAGATCTCATCCAGGAGGGCTGGAAGACCTTGCTATTATCAATAGGGAATTGCTATTCAAGTAGGACTCTACCTTGGATCACTTCCATGATCATGGTGATCATCTTTGATGAGGTTATGCTTTGGTGAGCATACATCTCTTTGTTTTATGCCTAGTCAGAGGGTTGTCGAACAAGGACATGTCTGTTGTGCCTTTCAAAGGAACTTGCATAATTATCACATATGGGTGGGATATCATAGTGTTTACAGAAGCAGTTTACTATGCTGAACAAAATGCATTTTTATAGTCACCAAATAATAAGCATAGTAGGGTCACATATTCTTTACCCCTTTCAATATTTCTTGTGTAGATCTGCCTGTTCCCTTTGAATACCTAAGTAAAGATGTCTTTAATCTCTGTGTAGATTATTCTCATACAAATTTTATATAGATGGGAAAGTCAGCCTATAGGTTGGTAGTCATTTTTTTTTTTAGTAATAAAGCCTCAGATCTCCCACTCATATACCTTTGGCATCTTCCCCAGTTAAAACTTCCCCTTGAAAACTTATCCATCAATGTTCTCACATTTCCTCCTCTGTATCCATTTTCTTTAGTTTAGATACTTTTGCTATCTTTGTTCTTCTTTTCAATACCATATCTACTTTCTCTATAATCACACCCAGGACTTCAGCATTAGAGTCCAAATATGGTGGCTCAACTGTTCTTGATAGTGAAAAGACTTAGCTATAAAAATCTTTGCAGATCTTTTCCATTTTTCTTCTCTTTGTTTTCCTTTCATCTTTATCCTTTATCTCTAGCTGAGCTTCTTGCCAGTCTTTCTGTATAGTAGATTTAGTCTCCACTACTTTTTATTGCTCATAATCTTACGTTATTTTTGTCCAAAAGATTTTACAAACAAATTTGTGTCCTAAATGGATATTGGCTGCCATGTTTTTTTCCTGCTTGGAAAGTAAGTAAAAGGTTTTCACTTCTGCATTGCAGCTCTTCAGATACTTTCAGATGGCAATCCTGCCTCTCCTAAGTCTTTCTTCTTTTCAGACCCCATTCATGTTGCCACCCTCATACACTCTGGCCTCTATCCCCACCTGGACAATCCAATCTCCCACTATAGGGCCCTGGGCTTCTGATTGGTGAACATTTACCATATTAAGGAAGACCCAGACCCACCGAGCTAATCCATAGCTGACTGCCACCACCTGCTCCTCCTTGCTGTTTTAGAAACATTGATCTAATAACACTGCCAAAACACCTTCAGGATTACCTTCCATTTGTGTTGTTTATATTTTATAAATACATATATACTTATATGATGTCCCTGTCATTAGAATATGGGCTTCTTGAGGACAGGAACCATGTTTTTTTGTATTTAGCACAGTGCTTGAAACATGGTAGGTATCAACACTTGTTGACCCTTCCTGGGCCTGCCTCTCTGTCTCTGTCTCTCTCTCTCTCCATGTAGATAGATAGATAGATAGATAGATAGATAGATAGATAGATAGATAGATATAGATAGATATCTATCTATAGCACATCTTCAGTGTTTCAGCAGCCAGATGGCACAGTGAGAAGAGAGAAGAGGTTAGAATCAGGAAGACCTAAGTTCATACTCTGCCTCTGATCTTTACTAGCTATGAGACCTTGAACATGTCACTTAAACTGCTCTCTGCCCCAATCTCCTCATCTGTAAAGTGGGGATAATTATAACATCTACTTCAGGATTGTTGTAAGGATCAAATGAGTTAATGTGCTTTGGCAGTGTTAAAGTACTATGTAAATGCTAGGTCATTATTAAATGTGTTTCCTTCTCCAGGTTAATATCCCCCATTCCCTTGACTGATCGTAATATGTTATGATCTTAAACCTCTTTACCATCCAGGTCACCTGCTTTGGACACTCTGTAGCTTGTCACTGTCCTTCCTAAAATGTGGTACCCAGAACAGAAAACAGTGCTCCAGATGTGATCTGATTGAGGCTGAGAACAGCAGTATCATCACCTACCAGCTCCTGAATACCACATCTCGCAGTGTAGCCTGAGATTGCCTTAACCTTCCCCCCCACTATCATTTCACACTGTTGGTTCATGTTGACTCCCCTAAAACTCCCAGGTCATTTTCATAGGAACTGTAGTCTTGCTACACCTCCTCCATCTTAAATTTATGAAGGTGACTTTTTAAAATAAACATATAACCCAGCATTTATTTAAATGATTCCTTCCAAAGTATGATTCTGTAGGTATAGAAGCAACCAAAAAGTACGGATTGTATCTTTCTTTTTTTTTTTCAATGCCCAGAAAGCGAGGACAGTGGAGGACAGTGATCTACCCAGAGTAGGTACTCCAAAAATGCTGGTCCAATAACGAGAAGTCTCTAGCTACAACCTGTTTGCTTTACTGTTTTCTCCCTCCTTGCTTCTTCAGGTTGCCCCCGCCATTAAAGAGAGGATGATGAAGAAGGGCAGCATGATGCTGGGCTACCAGCCACATCAGGGCAAAGTCAACTTCTTCCGCCAGGTGGTGATCAGCCCCCAAGTGAGCCGTGAAGACATGGACTTCCTCCTCGATGAGATTGACCTCCTAGGTAGAGACATGTAGCCATCACTCAGGAAGGCCCCAGAACACAAATCCCACTGAGCAGAAATTTCCCAATCAAGAACATCTGGGGCCTTGTTATAGAGATGCTGTTCTTCAGATGCTCATTAGGAAATGCTACCATCACTTTAAAATCAAATTGCTTAGTGTACATCTTAAAAATGCCTCACAAGCCTCTGAAGTCTGGAAAAGTGAGGGCAACAGAATCATGAAAATATCATCCCTGCTGCTGTTATAGTATGGACACCTTCTCTAGAACAGTTGTCTGGGAGGAGTTTTCTTGGAGGGTGGGGTAGAGCGATGGTCTTGGGTATTAAGCAGCCATTCCCTCTTTAAAGAATTCTTGACTCCTAACCGTAGGAATTATGTTCTTATACTTCACAATCACAATCACAAAAGATTCCCATTAACAGCTCAGAGGAGCTTGGGAATGGTTGAGAGATGAGTTGGGCATTGTCCAGCCAGGACATGAACTTGCTTCTGTCCCCCAGCAGTTAGACTCTGCATAGATAGCTCTCACCCAGATCTTTGGTGGCCCTAGAAGCATGTTAAAGCTATTTTTTAAAAAGAGGAATGATGAAAAATATTTATATGAAAGAGAGAACTTTTTATGTGGACCGATTGTGGCAAATGATTGGAATTCAACATGGCACTGATCTGTTTTAATCTACCTATAGCTTTTTTTTAAACTCTCAAATTACTTAGTAAGGTAGATATTTATTATTAGTTTTGTTTTCCTTTTTCCACCCAAGATTAACAGCCCCAAGAATGTTCTTCCATCCTAGTCTTCTGGACCACATTCCTGTTTTGCTCTGAATCTTATTGTTTTGCTTTGGCTTAATCCCCAGGTATGGATCTGCTTCCATCACCATAAGACAGGACCTGACTAGACAATGTTCATCTTCCCTCCCTTTGGATGGGGAGGGCCACTTGACAAATAATACTGATAACTCACATTTATATCATGTTTTAATGCTTATGAAGCATTTTGAGCTTGGTGGTACAAATATTATTGTCTCCATTTTACAGATAAGGAAACAGAGGTTAAGAGAGGGGAAGTCACAGTTAGTAGAGGTCACAACTGGGGTTTTAACCCAAGTCCTAACTACAATGCCAGCACTCTTTCCACAGACACTTACCTTAGATAGGAAGGAGAGAGCAGGCCCAACCTAGGCCTCAAAAGTTAAAGCCTTGGTCATGAAATTAAAAAAGGATCATCAGCTGTACAGAAGCAACTAAAATGAAGGTAAGAATAGATTTTCCTTAATCCCCAAGACTGTTCCTTATCATGTACTTATAAAGGTTGGTTTTGTTTTGACCATTTACCAATAACATGGCTATACTAGGTTCCATCCATCCTTTTGACAAGGATTTATTAAGTGCCTCCTGTATGCTAGGCACTGTGCTGAGTGCTGGGAACAAATATATATATATATATATATATATATATATATATATATATATATATATATATATATATATACATATATATATGTATGTATATATTTTTTTTTAAAAAATTAGTTTTTGACCTCAAAGAGCTTTTATTCTATTGACACATGGCACTCTTGGATGAGACCACCATTTTAGCAAATTATCCTGTCACCTGCAGAAGTCCCTTTGTTTGGGAGGTTCTGTGAATTGTTATCCTCCACTTAGTTCTTTCTCTTGTTTTTGTGGGTTGGTTTGCTTTGAAATAATCATTGTGTGTTTTTGTGAAGGCTGAAGAGCAAACTAAAGGATGTGGTCGCATATTATTTAGTGTTCATTTTCCTAGTCTCTGACTAACTGTAAAGCTGAAATCAGAAGTTTTCTTGTTTGCACCAAGTTTGTTCATCGACATAGCAATGACCAATGCATTCTTTCTCTTTCACATCTTGAGTACTGAAAATTGTCTCTAAACGAAGTGCTTTAATGCCTTCAATTGACATGTCCAGTGTTGCACAACATTCCCGTTTGTGAGCTCCAAAATGCCAGTGATTTATTATGATCAGAAGATAATGGATAAAAACCAAAATAGGAGCTCTTCACCAACACCCTAAAATACCTTCACAGTCGTTCCTGGGAGTGGATTATTTTGATCCCATCTAAGAGCCTAATTCTACCTTTCTCTAGGAGTTTTATCTGATAAATGACTGCACAGAATTAGGCCCTTTAAATACATAGTTTGTCATAGTAAGGCCTCTATGGCTATCTTCTAGGTATATCGGCTACATTGGGATTGTATTCCTATTTTTCATGGACCTGGGCTACAGCTGCATTAAAAGCTTAAGGACTGAAAGATGTAAAAGTGTTGGAGTTTTCTTTAATCTGTTTCCTTTCCTTAAGACAAAAATTATGCAGGCATACTCCACCTAACACTAATTGACTCTATTCAAAACACAATGTTAGGTGAAACAATGTTCCTGGGGTCAATGAGTTCCTTAGGAACTAGGTTATCGATGGATGATTGGCCAGACAAATTGACAGATTGGGTTTGTGGCTTTATAGTGGGGTTTAGTTAAAAATGTGTTCATAATATTATTGAGGAATGTTGATAGGACAGCCTTATCCAAAGCAGCGTCTGTACTGTCATTCATTGTAGGCTGTGAATATCCAACTGGTATCAAGAATTTCCCTTTTTATGTTTATCAGTAGTATGTTTTCGGTTTAGCATCTTATTTCTGTCTTATGTTTCAATTATGTCAGAATGGTTAAGGTACGTTTACCAACATGCCTCTAAATTTTATAGATGCTTACTAGCTATGCAATGATGACTCAACTTGTATTTGTTTTTGTTTAAACAACAACAAAAATGAGTTTTTGTTTTTTTAAGTCCGCACGTAATATTCATGAAATCTACATTTGCATCCTCGTGATGCAAAAATGAACATTAGAGCATAAATTTCTCATTTAACGTGATTTTTTTTCTGTCACCTACTGTTTACTAATTACAGTGTTTATACACTATAATGTACCTCCTGGACTAGGCTGCCATTTTAGCAGTAGAGACAAGAGACTGCTTATCTTGTAGTTAATGATTCGAATAAAATTAGACAAGAGAAACAAAGTATGTGTTTGTCTTTTATCTGGGGTATAGTGGGGGAAGTACTGACCTGGTTGTCAATAGACCTAGGTTCCAGTTCCAATTCTGCCACTCCTTAGCATCAGAATCATGAAGAAGTGTGTCTGGAAATCAGTGTGCAAAATAAGGCAGTTGAACTACCCTGCTGGTGGGTTTGCCTGCCTCAAGTGTCTCCCATTCCAATCTATTCTCAGTTCAGCCACTAAAGTGACTTTCTTAAAGCTTGGGCCTGACCATGTCACTTACCACCCCCACCCTACACCCCCAGGAAACTCCAGTGGCTCCATAGGGCCCCCAGGAACAAATACAAAATGCTCTGCTTGGCATTCGAAGCCCTTCATAGCCTAGCCCCTTCCTACCATTCCGATCTTCTTACATCGTATTCCCCTGCATGTACTCAATGATGTGAGCCTCCCTACAGCTCCACAGACAAGACCCTCCATCTCTGTGCTCCAGGCATTTTCTCTGATTATCCCCATGCCTGGAACACCCTCCCCATTCCACTCTGACCACTGACTTCCCTGGCTTCATTTCAGTCTCAACTAAAGCCCTGTCTTCTACTGGAAGCCTTTGCCAATCTCTCTTAATTCCAGCACCTTCCCTCTGTTAATTAATCCTGTTTATCCTGTATGTAGCTTCCTTTGTATGTATTTGTTTGTATGTTATCCCCCTAGTAGATTGTAAGCTCCTTGAGGGCAGGGGCTGTCTTTTCCCTCTTTTTGTATCCCCAGCACTTATTACTGCACCTGGTAGACAGTAGGTACTTAATGTTTATTGATGATTGATTGATTGATTGATAGATGATCCCCACATTCCTTCTCCCATTTCTATGACTTTGCACAGACTGTATCCCCATCTTTGGAATGTTCTTTCTCCTCATCTCTTAGAATCTCTAGTACCTTTTAAGGCACAGCTCAAGTGATATTTCTTAAAAGAGGCCCTTCCTGATTGCCCTAGTTGTATTTATCTGTCTAGGTAATGTTTCCCTTTTGGGCAGTAGAATGTCACCTTGAGGGCAGAGATTGTTTCATTTTTTTTTTGTCTGTATCCCCAACACCTTGGACCTTAATGAATTGAATCAAAGACCCTTCAAGTTCTAAAATCTGTTTACTCTAATTTTTCTGAACTAGACGGTGGGAGATGGGGAAATTCAACAGCAAGAGCATGGGCCACTGGAAACAGTCATACCTTTTCAAGGATGACAGAGAGATCTTAGGTAGAAGGAAAAGCAACAGCTACTGAAAATTTCTCAGATTCCATGTCCTCCCTAAGCTCATTCAGAGAGGCTACCACCAGTCTTGAGGCACTAAGTGGACTGGTCCGACCTGGAAACTGACCGTGATTTTAAGTCAAAAAGAATTAAGAAGCAGGTTGGGAATGAAAGAGTCAACATGTCAGTCATGTCCTCCTTGGAAAGAGTGTCCTCTGGCATGTCATTGCCAGATGATTATGAGATGTAACTAAACCAAACAGCTTTGGAATTTCTGTTGGAGCTCCCAATACATAACTTTTTTTTTTTATTGCAGAATTATCTGGGATAAGGAAGCAGCTTAGCACAGGGAAGAATAACACTGACACACAGGCATGAGGCAGCACCTGAAAGACTATTAATTTTTTCTGACAGGTGGAAATTGTGCCTCACTCCCCATCTGCCGCTCGCTCAGCAATCATGATCCCAGAGTAGTAAATAGGGACAATTTTAAAGCGTCTTCCAGAGCAGACTTCTCATCTGAATTTGTCTATTCAGCGTTAAACCCTACACTATTTAGACTTGTGTACTGGATTTTCCAATTTTTCCCTCTACCATCCTGACAGGCTACAATTTGTGGCAGTCCCTGACAAGTAATTGGAAATTTGGGGATGTGAAATAGACAAGAGAATCGGAGGCATCTTAGAATAAAAGAGTGCTTTAAAGTCTGCATACAGGATTGATAGAGATCTGCCCCCAAAACGTGCCATTTGGATGATGAAGAAGAAAGGAAGGAAAACTGGGTCAGGAGCATTACTGCTCATGCAAGGCACTATTTTGTTAAATACAGGTAATTAGAAAACCAGTGTATGCCATTTGTAATGCTACTGATGCTATTTTTCCTTATTGCAGAGCGTTCTCTGAAGCTTCTTGCTGTAACTCTGGCTTAAATCTAGTTTTGATCTTTAAGCTTTCGATGATATTAAGGACTAGTTGAAATTAGATGATAAGGACTAGGCAAAAACCCTGCTACAGACTGAGAAACTCAAGACTCTAGGGCAGGGATGGGACTTCATCCAACCACATTGTCATTTATAGGAAGAAACGGAAGAATGAACTCACTTGCTCAAGGTCACACAGCCACACTCAGCTACTTGCTGTTTTCTGTCCACAATATCCCATCTCCATATCTTTGTCCAGGTGTCCCATGCCTGTAATACCCTCCCTCACTTGAATTTAGAGGCAGGATTCAAATCCCGCCCCCCCCCCCCCACTTACTACCTACTTGACCTCGAGTAAACTACTTCAGTCTGGACCTCAGTTTTTGCACCAGTAAAATAAGAGATTTGCATTAGATGGCCTCAAAGGTCCCTTGTATTTCTCCAGGTCTCTCAAGGTCTCAAGATTTCTCATGAGACATAGGAAACTCTGGCACAGCACCACCCAGCATGGCATGCCCACATCAATGAAGGTGCTATGTGCCCTATGAGCAAATCAGAAACGCAGTAGCTCAAAAGACACGTGGGGTGCATGAATTTACAGACATGTCTGTTCCAAATGTTCATACAGACTCTTTGTGCCTGACCTGTGGTAGAGCCTTCTGAGCTCATATTTGACTGATCAGCCATAGATGGATGCACGGTACCTTGACCCTGACATAATGATGTCATACCCCTTCGAGTATGAAGGACAACAACCAGGCAGCATTTCTCCATCAATGACCCTATGATCACTCTCTCCTGTGTGGGTGCCAGAGCTGTCCTTTACTTTCATGCCATGGAGAAAAGGATACAATGAAATTCACAGGACAGGGTTAACCAGAGGTGTTAATGAGAAACCAGGTTGGATCAGCCAGGTGCAACTTTTAACCCTATAAAAGGATACGCCTTGAAATGGGTGCCTATCACAGCCAGCTGAAGTATGGCAGGCAAAAGGGATAAGGTTAGGGGCAGCTAAGTGGCACAGTGGATAGAGCACCGGCCCTGAAGTCAGGAGGACCTGAGTTCAAATTCGGCCTCAGACCAAACACTTGACACTTACTAGCTGTGTGACCCTGAGCAAGTCACTTAACCCCAATTACCTAAAAAAAAAAGGGGATAAGGGCCACCATGTGGCCAGGGAAAGTTCCACCATCCCCTCATCCCTGGATGTTGTCCTTCTTTCATGTTCTTTTATAGCCCCACCCAAT